AACCATTTTATTTTCCGTTTAGAAAAGAAACAGAGAAATATTAAATAAATAATCTATAAAAACAATGAAATTGATAACAAACTCATAAAAAAAATCATACACACTTTACAAATAAAAAAGTTAACAAATTTCATTAATTAATAACAATTATTGCTAAGGAATTTCAGATGAATCATCATCAGTTTGTTATTATTTGCTGGTTGGCGACAGCTGAATGTTGTTGGGTTCTGGCTGAAACTGAAACTTCAGGTGAATGAATGAATTTATTTTTGGCGCCAATCATTTACAACAAAAATAGAAAACTGGTTAACCACAAACAAAGTTTTAATATTTGTTTTTTATTATTTTTTTTCGTAAAAGTTTAACATCTTTATCTTTCTTTAAAACAATGTTTAAGTTGAAAAGTCAGTAGCTACGTTTTGTTAGCATTAATGAGATGCTTAGCTACATTTAAAGCGGCTGGCGACAAGCGTTGCGTCAAAATTTCATTTCATTTACTGTTTGTCATTAATATTTCTTCTCTATTTTTAAAAGGGATTCAATAAAAAAAAAGCTTTCGGTGATTGGCCTAAATCGGAGGAATTGGGAATCGTATATTAATGATACATATTTTACAATTCAACTAGAACTGAACTAGAACTGAACTAGAACTGAACTAGAACTGAACTAGAACTTAACTAGAACTGAACTAGAACTGAACTAGAACTGAACTAGAACTGAACTAGAACTGAACTAGAACTGAACTAGAACTGAACTAGAACTGAACTAGAACTGAACTAGAACTGAACTAGAACTGAACTAGAACTGAACTAGAACTGAACTAGAACTAGAACTGAACTAGAACTGAACTAGAACTGAACTAGAACTAGAACTAGAACTGAACTAGAACTGAAACTAGAACTGAACTAGAACTGAACTAGAACTGAACTAGAACTGAACTAGAACTGAACTAGAACTGAACTAGAACTGAACTAGAACTGAACTAGAACTGAACTAGAACTGAACTAGAACTGAACTAGAACTGAACTAGAACTGAACTAGAACTGAACTAGAACTGAACTAGAACTGAACTAGAACTGAACTAGAACTGAACTAGAACTGAACTAGAACTAACTAGAACTGAACTAGAACTGAACTAGAACTGAACTAGAACTGAACTAGAACTGAACTAGTACTGAACTAGATCTGAACTAAAACTGAACAAAAACTGAGCTAGAACTAATTTAGAACTGAATTAAAACTGAACTAGTTCTAAACTAGAACTGCACTAGAAATAAACTAAAACTGTAATGAATGACTTAATTTCACTTAAAAGTTTCTATCACTTTTTCAATTGTGAAGTTAAAAACGCCTGTCGCCTTAATTTTAAATTCAGCACAACAGGTGCTTCTGTACTGTCTGTCAATTATTTAGCATTTATATTAATCGTACATAGGGAAGACATCATTTTTATTTACTTTTGATTTTTTTTCTAAAGTTAATTGTCATTTTATCACGTTCCGCAAATTGTTGGTAGATTTTTTTTCTACTTTCTTATTAGTGGATTTTTATTGTTATTTAAAATTACGTTTTAGAATGGTGATTCATTGAATAAAAGCGGTTTTTATTAGCCTATTAAGATATTTGTTAAATAATATTAAAAAAATAATTATATAGGATAAGAGTGATAATTACTAACATAATATTTCGACCGATTAAACTATATAAATGATGAAATTTACAATTCAAATAGTTGGTGTTAAAATATAAAATTATAAAATTTATAATATTTTGATTATAGATTCTAGACTGTTTATGTTACTATAGAACTATAAATAAAGTGTTAACCTCTACAGTTTTTTACACTAATTTCTGACATAAATTTCAAAATTTGCCTTTATGCAATTGTAAAATCATGTGAAAGTTTAAAATATATAATATTCAATGAAATAATTTATGTTTAGAAGGAAATTTCCATTTACTTTTGCAAAATCTTTGATCTAAAATAAATTTCATGATTTGCTTTCTAGATTAAAACGCATCATTAAATTATTAAAATCGCAAATCATTATTTACTCATTTTAATTAACAATATACAAATAAGTTTATCTTTAATTAATTAATAAAAATATTTCCAATTCATATTTACCTAAAACGGTAAAAATATTTGCAAAGATTACAAATATGCAAATAATTTAATTAAAAAATTCTTGCCAAGGAAAACAACTTTTAACTTCAAAACGATTTTAAGAATCTAAAATAAACATTTAAAAGTCTATAAAACAAATATAAATACAGATAAAATCTGGCAAATGCGTGGGTGTTATATTTTTTGCTTTTTGTTATTTTATAATTTAAAGTTCATAATTTACCATAAGGATTTTTGTAATGCCTGCTGTTTCCAATGGTCATAATACTTGTAAGCAACAGTATATAAATATTTATATACCCTGCGCCAAGGCAAAAAAAAACTTTGCAAGATATTGAAATATTTACGGCATATTGGCCTTCAGATGCAGTTGCTATGGTGTGTTGATGATTTAGTTAAATTACACACATAATGTTTTTAACGGCTAGGATAATGTGTTCAGACCACAGCGTGTCTAATTTTTGTGATTGTCAGACAACATGGAGTTTTTAATAATTGCAATGAAATTAATATTGCGTGGATTCTTAACCCATTAAACCTATCGCATCCACTGGGAGACATTTAGCAGACCCGCTTCTATAACATAAGAACTGAACTAGAACAGAACTAGAACAGAACTAGAACTGAACTAGAACTGAACTAGAACTGAACTAGAACTGTACTAGAACTGAACTAGAACTGAACTAGAACTGAACTAGAACTGAACTAGAACTGAACTAGAACTGAACTAGAACTGAACTAGAACTGAACTAGAACTGAACTAGAACTGAACTAGAACTGAACTAGAACTGAACTAGAACTGAACGAGATCTGAACTAGAACTGAACTAGAACTGAACTAAAACTGAACTAGAACTGAACTAGAACTGAACTAGAACTGAACTAGAACTGAACTAGAACTGAACTAGAACTGAACTAGAACTGAACTAGAACTGAACTAGAACTGAACTAGAACTGAACTAGAACTGAACTAGAACTGAACTAGAACTGAACTAGAACTAGAACTGAACTAGAACTGAACTAGAACTGAACGAGAACTGAACTAGAACTGAACTAGAACAGAACTAGAACAGAACTAGAACAGAACTAGAACAGAACTAGAACTGAACTAGAACTGAACTAGAACTGAACTAGTACTGAACTAGTACTGAACTAGAACTGAACTAAAACTGAACTAGAACTGAACCATAACTGAACTAAAACTGAACTAGAACAGAACCAGAACTAAACTAGAACTGAACTAAAACTGAACTAGAACTGAACCATAACTGAACTAGAACTGAACTAGAACAGAACCAGAACTAAACTAGAACAGAACTAGAACTGAACTAGAACTAGAACTGAACTAGAACTGAACTAGAACTGAACTAGAACTGAACTAGAACTAAACTAGAACTGAACTAGAACTGAACTAGAACTGAACTAGAACTGAACTAGAACTGAACTAGAACTGAACTAAAACTGAACTAGAACTGAACTAGAACTGAACTAGAACTGAACTAGAACTGAACTAGAACTGAACTAGAACTGAACTAGAACTGAACTAGAACTGAACTAGAACTGAACTAGAACTGAACTTGAACTAGAACTGAACTGAACTAGAACTGAACTAGAACTGAACTAGAACTGAACTAGAACTGAACTAGAACTGAACTAGAACTGAACTAGAACTGAACTAGAACTGAACTAGAACTGAACTAGAACTGAACTAGAACTGAACTAGAACTGAACTAGAACTGAACTAGAACTGAACTAGAACTGAACTAGAACTGAACTAGAACTGAACTAGAACTAAGAACTGAACTAGAAATGAACTAGAACTAAACTATATAAAAAGAACTGATCTAGAACTGAACTAGAACTGACTAGTGAATAGAACTGAACAAATGAACTAAACTGAACTAGAACTGGAACTATAACGAACTAAACTGAACTAAACTTAACTAGAACTGCACTAGAACTGAACTAGAACTGAACTAAACTGAACTAGAACTGAACTAGAACTGAACTAGAACTGAACTAAGAACTGAACTAGAACTAACTAGAAATGAAGCTAGAATAAACGAGAATGAACTAGAACTTACTAGACTGACTAAACTGAACTAGAAGCGAATAGACTTAATAGAACTGGGAACTGGATAGAAACCGAACTAGAACTGGACTACTTAGACTGAACTAGGAACTGCTAGAACTGAACTAGAACTGAACTAGAACTGAACTAGAACTGAACCTAGAACTGAAACTAGAACTGAACTATAACTGAACTAGAACTGAACAAGAACTGAACTAGAAATGAACAAGAACTGAACTAGAACTATACTAGAATTGAACTAGAAATGTACTAGAGCTGAACTAGAACTAACAATTTTTTAAAAGTGATCATAACAAAACCTAAGAGCATTATGTAGGGTGCCATAAGATTTAGCTAGTGACTTTTAAAATCTATAGCCTATTTGCTACTTTTCCTTTTTTGCTTACAACTTCTATTAATTCACCTTTTCATACTCACCGGATCTGTTTCGTTTTCTTCGAGTAGTTTAACATTTGTATCTGTAGTTTCTGCACTGGTTGCTGCATCCGTTTTTGATTTATTGTATACAAAACGTGCATCATTTTCTCCAACGGCAACATGAACACAATGCAGAAGGCTGCATGTGAAAAGTACCAATACGAAAAACATTTTTAAATGTTGGCAGTTCGTGGACATGGTTATTCCACTACTCCGACGACTGCTGTTATGACTTGTTGTGTTGATTTGAGACATTACTTTTTTGTAATTTTTTTTTTTTTTGTTGTATAATTTTATATTTATCACAGTTTTTTTATATTATTTGTTTTAATTTTTTTTATAAGACGAAACCAAAAAAAAAAATCTAAAAAGAATTTGAATACATTAGTTTTGAAATCTTTAACAACATTTACATAATAAAAGTGCATGTTTTTTAGGCGGGTTAAATAAATTGTTGTTATTTATGAAAACTTGACATCTAGAGCGGGAGATTAAAATTGTAATTTTATATTTGTAATGCTGGTGTTGTTGTTAAAATGTTATCTATGTTTATCGATAAACATAAATTTCCGTCGTTAGAAAATCTCATAAGTGTAAATAACTGAATAATATACTAGTTAACAGGTGTTGGGTTATATCAACCCTAAGATGCGTTATTTAAATATTCAGATTCTTGAATTTTTGTAATAAATAAATTCTTATTTCTGTTATTTACGAATTAAAAATTATATTTATTGTTATTCATAAATAAATGTATATTTGTTTATGTTAAAAATTTTGTTTACGATGTTAATAAACCGTTAACTTTTTTCTGACCTCATAACCCTATGAAAAATTTAAGATATGCTTTTCAGAATAAATATTTACGAATATTTTATAAGGCATTGCACGATAATATAAACGATGTTAAAAATGGATAAAAATGTTTGACTTAATAGGATCATATTGCAAATATAAGTAAAATTATTTACAATCCTGGACCTAGAGGTTAAAACAAATTAAACCTGATACAAAATTCCCTGCATTAGTCAGGAGGCATCGACCGATCTTCCAGTTCAGAATTAGAAGAAACAGCAGGTTTGAAGAAAGATCAAGGTGTTATCTACTATTGAAAATGTAGTTATGATTAGGACGATCTTCTTGGCTTTAGTCAGAAGATGTTGATCGATTTTCCAGTTTTTAGTAAGAGTCGTAGTTCCCAAATGCTTTCAAGAAAGCGTACATAATCGACAAATTAGAGATCAACAGAATGAAGAGCAAAGAATCATTTACGATAGATGTAGATCACCTTAATGAAAGGTTGAAGCCATTCGCTCAGAAGAGTAGTCATCAAGAAAAAGATCGTTCCGAGAGCTTAATCATAACGAAAACGTTCGCCAAATTAAGCTAACGTGAGGTAGTGAAGAATCATTTAAGTGAGAAGATATTGATCGATCTGTTAGGCCTGCAAGAAGGTCCGGATATATAATCTTCTAGACGACGTCAAAGTTGATGATCAATTGAAGAAAATAGCTCGATATATCAGAAAATGAAATTTGAAAATACACTAGTGTAAACATTTCCAATGTTCTCAATCTGACAGGTATAAACCCAACTTGTTTGCATTTTTTCATCTTTCTCTGACACTGAAATAAATATCATTGATATTTTATAAAAAAAAAAATATATTCATAATCTGTTCAATCGATATTCAACAATAAAACAGAATTCGGTTAATGAACCTTTCTTTCAATATGATTTTAAAAGTCGTAATAAACTCGTTCAGAAACACATTTATTTGAGAAATCATGTGTATTTTGTTTTGACATCAATCATTATCTATGAAATTTCAATGTAACAATCATATGTAGGTGAATTACATCAAAAACAAAAAATAAAACTATATTGTCTGACGCATTTCTTTAAATAAATCTGTTATTTGTTTAAGAAGTTTATTTCATTATTTTAATGCGAATACATACATACACCTGTTTACTTAACCACAATATCAAGTGACATTGATACTAATTATTGTTATTGTTTTTAGTTCAAACTATAGGTACATAAAGGGTTCAACAAAATTTACTGTCACTGACGCTTTCAGCAATCAGCTGTCAAACAGCTTAAGATCCCTGATATTTTCACAAGTTATTGACACAAAAATTGTGGTAAATTTTGTGACACCTTTTATTTCTTGTTATCTTTCGAGTTTGTCATCGATTGTGAAAGAACGAAAAAAGTTCAACTTCATTGTAAATATAGTTTGTTTTTGTAATAATTTACTTCATACTTTTTATCAGAAGATAAGTAAAAGTAAAATATAAAACAATCATACATAGTTTACAGTTTAATTAATAATCTATGTCGGCAATTTCAATGTAATTCATAATAGCATGTGCGTACTATGTTGTATTTGTCGTACGATTGCATATACGAGGGTTGAGTGAAATGATATAGTGATTTCGGTAAACTTCTAGTAAAGTTTAAAGCTTTTAGAAATTAAAAAATTAAAGTCGATCATATGATAGGACACGAAATGACCGTTTATATGATTGATCATAACGATTGTTACAAATATGTAGTCTTTATCATCCTGCATAAAACACATCTTAGACTATAGACTAGACCATAAACTACATTATAGACTAGACCATAAACTACATTATAGGCTAGACCATAAACTATATTATAGACTATAGACTAGACTATAGACTAGACAATAGACTAGATTATAGACTAGACAATAGACTAGACAATAGACTAGACTATAACTAGACTATAGACTAGACTATAGACTAGACTATAGACTAGACTATAGACTAGACTATAGACTAGACTATAGACTAGACTATAGACTAGACTATAGACTAGACTATAGACTAGACTATAGACTAGACTATAGACTAGACTATAGACTAGACTATAGACTAGACTATAGACTAGACTATAGACTAGACTATAGACTAGACTATAGACTAGACTATAGACTAGACTATAGACTAGACTATAGACTAGACTATAGACTAGACTATAGACTAGACTATAGACTAGACTATAGACTAGACTATAGACTAGACTATAGACTAGACTATAGACTAGACTATAGACTAGACTATAGACTAGACTATAGACTAGACTATAGACTAGACTATAGACTAGACTATAGACTAGACTATAGACTAGACTATAGACTAGACTATAGACTAGACTATAGACTAGACTATAGACTAGACTATAGACTAGACTATAGACTAGACTATAGACTAGACTATAGACTAGACTATAGACTAGACTATAGACTAGACTATAGACTAGACTATAGACTAGACTATAGACTAGACTATAGACTAGACTATAGACTAGACTATAGACTAGACTATAGACTAGACTATAGACTAGACTATAGACTAGACTAGACTAGACTATAGACTAGACTATAGACTAGACTATAGACTAGACTATAGACTAGACTATAGACTAGACTATAGACTAGACTATAGACTAGACTATAGACTAGACTATAGACTAGACTATAGACTAGACTATAGACTAGACTATAGACTAGACTATAGACTAGACTATAGACTAGACTATAGACTAGACTATAGACTAGACTATAGACTAGACTATAGACTAGACTATAGACTAGACCATAGACTAGACTATAGACTAGACTATAGACTAGACTATAGACTAGACCATAGACTAGACTATAGACAAGACTATAGACTAGACTATAGACTAGACTATAGACTAGACTATAGACTAGACCATAGACTAGACTATAGACTAGACTATAGACTAGACCATAGACTAGATTATAGACTAGACTATAGACTAGACTATAGACTAGACTATAGACTAGACTATAGACTAGACTATAGACTAGACTATAGACTAGACTATAGACTATAGATTAGACTATAGACTAGACTATAGACTAGACTATAGACTAGACTATAGACTAGACTATAGACTAGACTATAGACTATAGATTAGACTATAGATTAGACTATAGACTAGACTATAGACTAGACTATAGACTAGACTATAGACTAGACTATAGACTAGACTATAGACTAGACTATAGACTAGACTATAGACTAGACTATAGACTAGACTATAGACTAGACTATAGACTAGACTATAGACTAGACTATAGACTAGACTATAGACTAGACTATAGACTAGACTATAGACTAGACTATAGACTAGACTATAGACTAGACTATAGACTAGACTAGACTAGACTATAGACTAGACTATAGACTAGACTATAGACTAGACTATAGACTAGACTATAGACTAGACTATAGACTAGACTATAGACTAGACTATAGACTAGACTATAGACTAGACTATAGACTAGACTATAGACTAGACTATAGACTAGACTATAGACTAGACTATAGACTAGACTATAGACTAGACTATAGACTAGACTATAGACTAGACTATGACTAGACTATAGACTAGACTATAGACTAGACTATAGACTAGACTATAGACTAGACTATAGACTAGACTATAGACTAGACTATAGACTAGACTATAGACTAGACTATAGACTAGACTATAGACTAGACTATAGACTAGACTATAGACTAGACTATAGACTAGACTATAGACTAGACTATAGACTAGACTATAGACTAGACTATAGACTAGACTATAGACTAGACTATAGACTAGACTATAGACTAGACTATAGACTAGACTATAGACTAGACTATAGACTAGACTATAGACTAGACTATAGACTAGACTAGACTAGACTATAGACTAGACTATAGACTAGACTATAGACTAGACTATAGACTAGACTATAGACTAGACTATAGACTAGACTATAGACTAGACTATAGACTAGACTATAGACTAGACTATAGACTAGACTATAGACTAGACTATAGACTAGACTATAGACTAGACTATAGACTAGACTATAGACTAGACTATAGACTAGACTATAGACTAAACTATAGACTAGACTATAGACTAGACTAGACTAGACATCACACTTAATATAATTTAAGTGTGGTGTTGAACCATTATGGGTGTAAGCCAACCCTCGTATTTACCCTACTACACACTCACATTTTACGGATAAAGTAAGTAGTATTGACATATTGAATACTTTTCTGTAATTCTAATTTATCCATTGAACAATTAAAATTCTACAACAAAAACTAAAGTAAATAAAAGAAAGTTCCTTATACCATATAAGGTTAATGTTAAAAATGTTTTATTAAATTCTTTTCTTCTCTAGTAATAAAATAATAAATATTTTGTTTTATTTGTGTAATATTTTTACATTTATTTATTTGTTTTTACTGGCAAAATTGTTTGTTTTTATTGTTGTAAAAATAGCTTTAGCCATGTGTG